GTTCCTTCACCAGGTCCCTTGGGAAGATGCAAAGAATTTCTTCCATCACACTCAAATCCTTCTGGAAACTGAGCAGCCTCTGTGTGCCAGTGAAGGAGCTGGAGCTTAAACCATCATCAACATCATTTTGTTCTAATAAAGGACAATAAACAGATGACCTCAGGTGATTTAATTAGCAAAGCATGACTTAATACTACTTGGAACCATGAAAAGGCAGAAGCTCTGGTTACTTTCCCGGTTCTTCCAGAGGCAGTAATTCCCCTTCTGCTGCTCTCAGTCAGCACAGGGGTGTGCTGTCTATTTACATTCTGTCCAGGTGGGAGCATAAACAGCATGCAGAGTGAGCAGTGAAAATCTGGTTTTACTCTGATTACCACTTGGCAGAGGTGCAGATACACTCAAATACTGACTGAAGTTTGTTAACCCAAATATAGAAACTACAGAGCTGAATGCAAGGCAGGAATTGGCCCATTCCTATTTTCCTTGACAGAATGCATCTCTCTAGATGACCCAAGAGAAATATCTGCCATCTCTCCTGCTTTCTGTGCCTGCAAACTCCAAAATTCTTCAGCCCATCCTTGTTCTGATTATGACTACAGACATCAGTGCTGAGCCTGTAATGAAGTGATGATGAGAATGAAAGATTGCAGGAAGAGCACTTTTAGTTAAAATTATCCTGGGCTGCTTTGCTGGGGAGTTCTCAGAACTTGAATTTCTCAATTATATTTATTTTCCTACATCCAGATGTTTGAAACATGACATGAAAAACCCACTTCCTTTTCATGCTTTCTCACCACAGGCTTGTGTAGATGCCTGAAAATCCTTTATTTCATTGTGGGGGCATTTGGCTTTATTCCTAGAAGTAGGTGGTTACAGGGGCTTTCTTAAAGGTCAGAGTTCATTAATAACCTTAAAATTCTTCCTGTAAAGATTTATTTCCAACACAGTTGTAAATATCAGTTGATCCTCCTTTTCCTAGACAGATTTCGCTGCTTCACCACATGCTGCAAAATATTTTGAGACTCCATTAGGAATTTTAATATTTTATTAACAGTCAATCAAGTCTTGAAACTTTCATTACAAAATGTTGACATTAGTCATTGGATCAAAGGCACATGTCTTAGCAAAGCTCTATGGATGTTTCCTACATTATGCTGCCATTTTTTGGGCTAGATCAGTAAAAACAAAAAATTTTTTTAAACATTCTCAATATGTTTCAGATTTTTCCTTAAAACTAAATCAAGACTCTATTATATGTAAATTCCTAAATGAATTACTTATTTTCTATTTTTAACCAAAGTTTAGGATCCTCTTCAATAGTGTCTTTGATCTCCTAGAAATGGTGGGGCATTTCGCCCTTTCTTGCAGAAACACTGGAGCCAGTTTCAGGGACAACATGTCATCAACACCTGCAAAAAAATTCTGGCACTTTCTCTTCCATTTCTTTTAATAAATATTAATTGGCAGGACTTAAATACAGCTTAGGTAGGCAATAACAACTTAATCAGTGTATGCAGATAAGACTAGAGACAGATATTTAGTTGGTTTGAGTTATTAATTTTATTTTCTTTGGATAATTTCAGATGGCATTACACGGAATATTAAAGTCTTATTTAAAGAAATTTAATCAGAGGACTGGTGAACTATGTAGTATTTTATTTTATAATGAATTTTCTCAAAGAAGCACACAAAAGTATATTAATTTTTTGGCCTGCAGTTACTTTATGGGTTACAATGGACATCATTCTATTTGGCTTCAGATACATTGTTTTCCTATTAATATATTTACTATATTAATGAATCCATTCACTTCCAGAGAAAAGCTATCCACCAATAAAAAGCAAAGCAAAAACCATGAGTCAGGCATTTTTATCTGAGAACAAAGTATCAGACAATCCTTTTGACACTGGATGAACAACAAAGACCTGCTGTCTTTTATTTTCAGCCTCCGTAACACTCCCTGCTCTGAGGAACAGAGACAGGAGGAGCAGGTGGGAGCAAAGGAAATGGCACCTGTAGATGTGAAAACAGAGAAATGATAGTGGGAGAAGTCACGCATGGGCACAGATGCTCAGAGAGGGGCTGTGGGATCTACACCCTCAAGGACAATCAAAACTCACCTGCAGGTACCGCCAGGCAACTTGCTCTGTTTGAGACTTGTCTGGGAGACCTCTCAGGCTGGGCGCCTTCTCATGGACTTTCACAAACCCTTGATTTTATCATTCTGTGAAGTACCTTTTTTGTCAATTTAAAAGGTGAAAACTGTTGGGGCCTGGGTGAGTGGGGTTTGTTTGGTTTTTTTGGTGTGTTATTTTTTTTGTTTTGGTGGTGCGACTCACACTGCGGTCACTGGAGCAGAGAAGCGCCAGCTAGCCGCTCCTCGTGTGACCGGAGGGGGCCACAAGAGCGGCCGCTCCCAGGCTCTCTTCCTGAGAATGCCCAGGTAATGGCACAGTCTGCGGCGTGGGTGACACAGACTGATGCAAGTCACGAAGGTCCAAGGTGAAGGAATGAGAGAGCGGACACTTTTGTGAATGCCAAGGAAGCTTTATTCCCAGACGGGTTCAGGGACAAGTGTCGGGAGAAAGGGGTTTATAAAGGGAGTGGGTGTAAGGGGTGGAAACGTAAGGTAGCCAATAGGTAAAGGCACGGGGAGAGGTATGGAACCAATGAGGCTTGCACAGGGGAGCGAGGAAGACTTGGGGACAAATCATAGACAAGACTGGGGATATATGATACAGAATCTTCTCGAAAGAAAGGGGGGTGGTTACGATGACAGGCAGGGGCAGTGGGCAGCACGTTAGGGATTGACACACACATATAAGGGCTTTATGGGAGGAGCAGGGAATCAATCACTTTGAGAGGCAACCCAGCGGTGGGAAAAACAGGGGGTATAGAACTTGGGAAGCGACCATTCTGAGGGACTCAGGCAGGGGGAACAGGGGATTAAACCATTCTACTAATAGAAAACAATAATGACATTAAGAAAAAACACACGCCACAGCTGGATTTTGTTTTGCTTTGTTTTGTTTAGTCGGTTGGTTTGATTTTTTTGATGTTGTTGTTTGTTTTGGTTTTTATGGCTTTGTTTTGTTTTCTTTTGGTCTCGGCGGGTTTTTTTTGTTTTTATTTACAGCCACTATGTTGTATTTTAGAGGCATTGCCATGTAAAATTGCATTGCAAACGGATGCTGAGATCTGGAACCCAAACACAAATTCCTGCTGTTGGCTTGCTGAAGAGTAGGATCGGGAAAAACAATTGCATGGAGCAGTCACTAATTTGTCGCACATTGTAATTCAAATAAATAAATATGTATTAGCAAATTCATACTAATAAATGCTAAGACAAGGACCTGCTACCAAATTATACAACACCAATGTAATCAAAGGTACCTTAAAGGAAAAGAATAATAAAAAAAAAAAAAACCAAAAAACAAAAAAAAAAAAAGACAAGCCAACAAAAAAAAAGAAAGATTATCAAATGATCAATATTTTCTTTTCTCAAAACATATCTTTATGTTTTCAAGCAAAGGAGCACAATTAAATATCCCGTGCCATGGAAGTCTGTCCCTCTGTCAAACATGTGCAAAAAATACAGAGAGCATATGAAAGGAAAAAGGCAAAAACCAAAACATCACTCAGTGCAAAAAAGGCCTTTGAATTCACAGCTCTCCAAGAAAGCTTTGGGGCTCTTGGCTGGACAGAGATGATCCATCTCAGACCTGTGCTCAAAGCGGGGGAACGCACCCTGCCGCAGGCGCTTGGCTTGGTCTCTGCAGGCCCAGGCAGATGCCAAAGCTGCTCCTGACATCCTTGCCCCTTCCCTGCTCCTCTGCCAAGTGCAAGGGCCTCAAGGACTGAAAGGAGCACAGGGAGCCCAAGGGAGACAGCTGCACCTAGCTTACTGAGGGCTCCTGGGGAAGCAGTTTCCTTGAGAATCAGGCCCCTTTCTTCCAAAGGCACTTGCCCAAATGTGCAGATTCCCAGGGAACACCAACACACACATTTAAGAAAGCCTGGCAAGGCTGAATTACTTGTGCTCCTTGCAGCACAGGCACTCCAGCTCCAGCTCATCTTCCTTCCCCCGGCTCTGTGTCGCTTCCTTCCCCACGCCCATGTGTCACTTTGGGCGCGCAGCCCCGGGCCCCTACAAACACGAGCTGCCCGCTGCCTCTGCACGAGCCTGAACTCCTGCCTGCGCTCACGGCAGCAAAACCAGGCTGTTCCCAGCCAGGGAGCGGAGCCCTGTTCCTGCAGGAGGCTCTCATCAGCCCCTTCCAGGGCGCTGCGCTGTGCATGCAGCACTTCTCCTGCCTGCCCTGAACGCTCCTGGCACAGCAGAGCACAAGCTGGCCGGCTCTGGGCTCAGCACAGCCCAAACACGGGCACAGGAAGACTGTTTTGCAGCCATGCCCAAGACAGCTGGGAAGGGTCCCCTGCCTCTGCCTTTCTGACTGGGCCTGAGGCAGGAGCTGCCATTCCTCACTTGTGGGGAGACCAGAGCTGCCAGAGGCGCTCCCAGCCTGCAGGCACTGCCTGACAGCGCTGCAGCCACTGGGACGCTTGCGCCTCCTGAGTCACAGCCACTCCGCTGCTGCTGCTGCTGCTGCTTCATGTGCTTTGGGGCACAGCCCAAACTCACTGTTAGGCCACCATGGTCTCTGCTTCTGCCCTCTTCCTGTCCCTGTCTATGCATGGAGCATTGCTGCGCTTTCAGGAAGCTCTTGGTGAGAACTTCCAGCATCACAAGCTCCTCTGCCCTCGGTGGATGCTTGCCACGGAAGAGCATACTCAAGCTGGCTCTTCTAAAACCCAGGGTCCTTGTTCCCTTCAGCGTGCTCAGCATGACCTTCAACTCCACGGTCCTGTGCAACTGGAGCAGCAGGGACTTTCCAGCCTGTTTCTCTGTGCCACTGCACAAAACAACAGAGAAGGCAAGCAAAGGCCTGTGTGTGCCAGGGCTTAGGTTTTGTGACACTTCAGCTCCACAAAGACCCAGGTAAAGTGAAGAAGCCAAAGAGTTTATTAAATGAAAGCAAAGCAGTGGAGTAGGCTGGGAGGAAATAAAGGGGATGGCTAGGCTCTGAGAGCCAGAGGGAGGGATCAGCATCAGCTAAGCCTGGAGCTCCAGCGGCACTATGAGGTGGGGAGGTGTTCCCTTCTGGGTCTCATGGTCCTCTTCTAGGGACATTGGTTCTCTCAGTTTGGAAGATGACCTTAGTTCTGCAGCTCCTTGGCAAAACTTAGCTTGAATATGCAGGTTGGAGCAGGATGGGCTGTTGTCTTTGCTGGCTGCTTGAAGGGCTGCAAGAGAGAGGAACAGAGCCATGGTGGGAGCCAGGATCTGCAGGGGCCCAAGGAGACCCTGCTGCCAGGGCCATCCCATGTGGCTCTTGCCACGGCCAGAAGGGAGCAGGAGACAACGGGATCAGAGAGAAGATGCTGGCCCTGAAAGCCCTGTGTGCTCTGGCCACGCCACTCCTCCTCTGCACAGGGGAGCAGAAAACTCAGCAGCTGGGGCAGGGATTGTAGATCCCCCTCCAGCCAGCCCCTGCTCACACCGCGCTGCATGAGCTTACCCTGACGGCTTGAGCTGGAGCTCTTCCTGCTGCCTCTTCAGGTTCCGCCGAAGATCACTGGAAGCACAGAGGAGGCTGTGGCGGCCCCAGGCGGCACAGCTGCCCCGCACGGGCGCTGCCAGCCCTGTGGCCGCACGCCCTGCGGGCTCAGCCCGGGCCCCTGCCGGGGCGGAGCCTGACGGCCGGGAGCACGGCTGCGGGAGGGCGGGCGGCGGCAGCCCCGAGGGCGGACGGGGCTCCACCGCCGCCTGCCCGGCTCCCGCTGTCCGGGCAGCAGCGGGGCTGGGGCCGAGCCCGGGATGGCAGGCAAGAGATGCCGGGCTCGTTGCTCACCAATGAACCTTATGGCTGCCTGCCGCAGGAGCTTCTGTGGGTTGCGCAGGCATGGCAGGGCCCAGTGCAGGTGCTCGGCTGCTGAGCTCTCGTCCTCTACCAGCTGCAGAGAGGGCACAGAGGGAAGGCTTGGCGCGGGCTCTGCCCCTCGGCCGGGCGCTCCCTGTGGCCGGCACTGGCCTGCTGTGCCCCGCGCAGCCCTGAGGCCCGGGCGGCCGCCCCTGGTGCCGGGTTCTGAAGGGGGCAGAGGGCCGGCTGCTCTCCGTGGAGCCGCGGTGCTGCCCTGCAGCCCGGCTGCGCCAGGGCTCCTTCGGGAGCCGGCTCGGGGCCAGAGGAGCCTGGGCAAGAGCCTGGGTGGCCCAGGGCAGGGAGCAGCGTGTGGGGCGCAGGCTGGCGGCCCCGGGTGCGGCGCTGGGCAGGAGCACAGCTGCCAGCCCCCCACACTGAGCACCGGGGCCAGGGGGCTTCTCCAGGCTGCGGCTGGGGCTTCCAGGCTCTCCTTACCAGGTAGTCATTGAACTTCCAGGCTTGCTCCTTTTTCAGCAGCTGCTCGAGATCCCTCCTCTTCAGGTACCGGGCCGCACAAAGCAGTGTTTGGAAAGCAGCCTGGAGAGCAGCAGAGAGCTGGAGGTGGCACCAGGGCACAGGGCCCGCATCCCTGTGCCAAGGCCAGAGGGAGGCTGGAGCCCATGAGCTGCCAGGGCAGGAGGCAGCTAAGGCCCTTCCCAGAGGGACACGAGCAGCCCCCAGAGCTGACCTCTGCCACGCGCTGGTTCTCATCGTGCAAGCAGATGAAAAGGGAGAATAGGCTCTGGCTCACAATTGTCTTCAGGAGCTTTTTTCCCTTTTCCAGTGCTAGCTGCATCACCTCGCGAAACAGGTGAATGGAGAGCAGCTGCACATGTCTGTTGTCCTGGTGGCAAGGAAAATGAGACCTTGATACCAACTTCTCTAGACCCACCTGGGCACAGGCCCAAAATCCACAGAGCACAAAGTTTCTGGGCAGTGTCCAGTCAGTGCCTGCGGCTAGGGGCACAAAGCCTTACGTCTTCAAAGAGTGGCACGAGTGCCTCAGCCAGCTTTGAGGCAGTGGTGCTGCATTTTGCAGAGACCAGGATGTCTTTGTCCTGGAGCACGTTCATGAGCACAGAGAGGGTCATGCTGACCATCTCTCCATCTGCATCTCTCAGGAGCTCCAGAAGCGTTGGCGACAGGTTGCATATGCTTTCGGCCTGTGGGGAACACAAGGCTGTGACGTGAAGCTGTGAATGGCTGCAGCACCAAGACTGCCAGGCGCTGCAATGCCACCCTGCTGCTACAGGGCCTAGAAGCCAAAGACCTGTCCTGAACTGGGAGGCAGGAGAGATGGGAGCAGCTGCCTCAGCTCCCAAAGCCCTGACCAGCCCAAGGGGCTGTAATCCCCAGCCCCACGCTGCCAGCGCGGCTTCAGCCACTGCCCCCTTCTCACCATCAAGGGATACTTGCTGAGCACCACCAGGCCTCTGAGCGCCAGGCGACACCTGTCCCCGCATTCACTCTGCAGGTGCTTTGATATGATGGTCAGCATCCTGCGAGCACATACGTTCAAGTCCAGACACTCCAGGAGCTGAAAGGCAGAGGACAGTGACAGGGGACCCGGCCAGCAGGAGCCCAGAACCACACAGGGCCGGGCCCAGGCAGCACCAGTGGGCGCCAGCAGCGTCCCAGGCAGCTGCAGCTAGCAGAGGCCAGAGAGCTGGGAGGCAGCTCAGCCAGGCAGCGCTGGCCAGCGGGCTCACCTCCACAAGGAGCGCCAGGGCAGGCAGATCCCAGCGGGGTTGCTCCCTGACGAGCAGCTTGAGCAGGCAGATTGTGATCGGGGTGCACAAGAGAGCTGAGCCACGGCGCAACCCCCTGTTAGGGAAAAAGGCACCAAAGCCCTAAGCCAGGCAGGCAAACCTCTCCCAGGAGCGACTCACAGAGGTCTGATCTGTCCCTAGCACCCTGCGAGGGGACATGGGTGCTTTGGGAGGCAGCTGCTCCTGGGCCTCCCTCCCCTCCCAGCCTTTTCCAGTCTGCTGGGCCACCCCTTGGTGACAAGGCCCTCTGGCCCACAGCCACGGGGACTCAGTGTGGGGCACTCCGGGCACAGGGCACAAATCCTGGGGGCAGCAGGGAGAAACGGTCTCACCTGGCCAGCAGACCGACTGCATAGTAATGGGTGTCGGCACAAAGCAGGGTGTCCCAGAGTCGCTTGCGCTCCAGAGCCACTACCTTATCATTGCACCACAGTCGGCAGAGCAGAGCCTTCATGGTCTGCGCTGCAAACCTGTGTGCCGAGCAAAGGCCAGGTCACACCGGGAGCCCTGGCCCTGGTCACAAGGGCATGGGAAGGACAGGGCGACTGGCACCTGTTAGGCTAGGTGGGAAGGCGGTGTTCCTCCCGGCACACTCTCCAGAAGTTCTCAACCTCTTCTGGTATCTGCTCTGTGGTGATGAAAACTTGGAAGAGCAGAGCCACAATCAGGCAGGCAGAATGATGGATTACGGCGTTGTGGCACTCGGGAAGCTGGACAATCAGCCACAGCACCAGAGTTGCCTGCAAAAGACAAACCACCCTGAGACGGCGCTCAGCGCCAAGGTGTCCCAGCGTGGGGCCCATGGGGAGACGCAGGGAGAGCACCTGGCCTGCTGAGCCTAGCCCAGGTTTCTGCCCAGCATCTGAGCAAGGGAGATGCAGGATCAGGAGGGGATGGAGAGCTCCTGGAGAGGTGACTTGGGGGCAAGCAAAGGCCAGGTCCAGAAACTCACAGCCAGAGCAAAGATGGCCTTGTTGTCCCTATCAGGAGCGGACACGTTGGGTGGCCAGTCTTGCATCACACACACTAGTGTTGGAAGGATCTTCTCGACCACGGGTCCCCGTGTGCCTACGGTTCTCCATATGATTGCAGCAGCTCTGTGGGACCAGAGCTGTGTGTCAGAGGGATCTCAGCAACCTTACCATGGCCTGTGCAGCTGCATGGGGCTGGGTGACAAAGCCCTGGTGCCCTGAGGGGCAGGAGGAGCACGGCAGCAGCCTCAGGAGACAGAAGGACCCGAGGCTCCTGGAGCTCTCCACCTGTCTGGCAGACCCCACTGGACAGGCTCTACAGGGCGATGAACTCTAGAGGCTGGTGAGCCTTGAGCTCTCAAGGCACTTGTGCTCTGTACCTGTCACAGGTTGGGGCACAGTGCAGGAGGGCCAGCACCATGTCTGCAGAGTGCTCTTCAGCAAGGCTCAGAATATTAATGCGCAGCCTGGTATCCAGAGTGACACGGGACGTGAGTATCTGGTGAATGTCCCTCACCATGCCTGGCACCTGGAGGAGGCATGGGGAAGACTTGGGAGTGCTGTCCAAGGGAGCAACTAGTTTCCTAGTTTCCCCCAGGAAGTGATGCCCTTCCCACCCTAATGTGCTGGCCTCAAAGGGTGAGGTGGCCCAGTGTCTGTGGTTTGAGGGGCCATGCAATCCTGGAAGGCCTCCAGGCCTGGCCTCAGGCTGCTTACCTGCTGCCGAGAAGAAACACCTGTCTGCTTGGACAGATCTAGTGTGGGAGCAAGAATCAGAGTGGAAGTGGGCACGGTGTCAGCCTTTGAGATGCCCTGAGCCATTCCGATGTCATTGTTGGCCATGTCCTCAGTCAGGGCTGTGTCAGCCATTGCCCTGTGATCAGCCTTTGCTCTGTCAGAGCTGTCTGTGCTGACATCAGGCTTTTCTTGCATCTCCAGGCTGGGCCTGGAGTCGGGCTCAGCCGTGCCCTCGGTGGCTGTGGCGCTGGTCTTTCTGCGCCTAATGCGCAGGAACCTCCGCAGTGCCTGCAGCAGAAGGAAGGGCGGGAAGAGAGGGACGTTCCAGGGTCTGCTCCAAGCGCGGGGCTGGGCCGAGCAGTGCCAGCAGGCCCGGCCCAGGTGGAGATGGCCGCAGGTACCTGCGCTGCTCTGGGGAAGCGGCCACGGGTGGGGTCCGGTTCTTCTGTCCCATCCTTCCCTGTATCTGGCAAAGAGCGAGTGCAGCCAGAGCTGAGGGGCTGCAGGAGAAGCCAGAGAACACAGCCCAGCCCTGTGATCTCCAGGCAGGAGCAGCCCTGGCATGCCCCAGGGGATGGAGGACGGCCACCAGGGGGGACAGCTCTGGCCTTTGTTCAGTGCTGTCCATGGGCATGTCTTCAGGGGCTGGCATGGCATGGCATGGCATGGCATGGAATAGGATGGAATGGGATGGGATGGGGCCAGGTTGGCTGCAGGCAGAAGCCCTATGGCCCAGCTCTGCCACTCACCCTCCTGCAGCAGCTGGAGCTGCTCTGACTCTTCAGGCTGCTGTGCTGAGGCATCTGCAGAGCCTTTATTTTTCTTGCCCCTAAACACTCTAAAAAGGCTGGACAATCTGCCTGCCATCCTACTCTCTGCCCTCAAGGGCACTTTCCAGACAGATGCCTTGGGAAGGTCTCAGTCAGGAAGTCCTGCAGTCTGGCCGCAAGGCCAGGCACAGGAGTAATGCTTCGGAAAAGCTCCAGGTCAGCAATGCACAAGGTGGCTGTGTGGGGGGTCCGCACAGCACAGTTCTGGCACGTCCTGTCCTGTCGCATGCACCGAGCACTGTGGCGTTGCCACTTCGCCGCCAGAACCAATGTCACCACGTGTCACAAAGGGCCCTTGGACACCCTGTTCCATGGATGTCAGGAAGGGCCCTTGGACACATGCCCTGCTGTGCCCCCCCACCCTGCCCAAAATGTTCCAGATTAGAAGGAATCCATTGCCCCAAGAGTCTAAGACAGCCCGGGACACACCAAGATCA